AATAATTTATAAATTATCAAGGGTTCATGAGGGAGAGGGGAGCAGGGAGAAACATGAGGAGTTGATGCCAAGGGTTTAAGTGGAGAGCAAATGTTTTGAGAATGATGAGGACAATAAATGTACAAATGTGCTTTACACAATTGATGCATGGATTGTGATAAGAGTTGTATAAGCCCCCAATAAAATGATTTAAAAAAAAAATTACAGTCCCAAAATGTTTTGAAATGGATTGTAGTAGCAATTGTATAATGCTGCTTGATGTGACTGAACTATGGAATGGTATGATAACTGTAAGAGTTCCCAATAAAATGGCTTTAGAAAAAAAAAAAGAACCTGGACTTTGTTTCCACTGCAGGAAGGGTAACCACTAGAGAAGCTAATACCAAGGGCTCAACAGAATGTAAATGTCGGGCAATGAATGTACAAATGTGCTTTACACAATTGATGTATGTATGGATTGTGACAAGAGTTGTATGAGCCCCCAATAAAACGATTAAAAAAAAAGATGAAAAATGCCAAAAAGAAAAAAAAAATGTCTAGAAAATAATGATGGCAACATATATACAAATATGCTTCAGACTATTGATGTATGGATTGTTTTAAGAGTTGTAAGAACCGCCAGTAAAATAGTCTTTTAATTAAAAAAAGGGGGAAAAAGCCTCCCCCCCAAAAAAAGTAACTACTGGGTGAGCCAGTGTCCTCTGAAAATCAGCAGTGAAGGGAAGAGGTTCCACTACTCAACCCTGTCCCGCTGGGAACTGGAGAGCAGGGCATCCTTCCAGCCCTACCCAATGAAGCCCAGAGAGTGCAGTTCCAGTCCAACTGGTTGCATAGTCTTATCAGTCTGTCTTATCCCTCAGTCCGGCCACCAGAAGGAACCCAGTAGTAGATCGAACCACCCAAGAAGTTCAGCTGGTCCCAGGGGGACCCCCAGCAACCACTGATTGGTGTCTAGGGACTTCTACCAGATGAAACAATAGGACTGTTAGAAAATCTAACCCAAATTCTCAAGGTCTTCCGGAGTTATTGATCAAAGTATGTGGAGTTCACAAGAAAAAGTATGGCAAAGTATATTGAGCCTCAAGAGCAGTAAGGGTTAATTAAACATGTAGTCACACTTATAAACTTATGGAAAAGAGATCAATTACATGAATTCAGAAAATGTCCCCAAAAGGTCATATTTTTTTCAACCCCTTTAATTCACCTGTGTGTGTCAAGGAAGCTTAACGGTGCCACTTGTTTGTTGTCAGCTTTTTGTGGGCTGGACGGGTAGATTCTGAATTTGGTCATTTCTCTGAGAGCAGTTTCTGAATTTGCATAACTATGTAAACTGTCTTAAATGGTTCAAATGGTTTTATATAAAAAATAAACCAAAAACCCACCAAAACCTGTTGGCAATTATTCAGGCAATTTAAAATTTCAATTACTAAACCGAAGGGAGAGAACTAAGGGGAAATTATATGTGACAACTTTCATTCAGCTTTATTAACTTCCATTTTTTCTCCCTAACAAAAACTTATAAAGTATCTAGAGCAAAAGGATAACTTTTCTACCCCTACAGAAAAAACTGACCGCGAGATCTGGTGAAAAGAGGAAAATCAAATTTGGAATCCGGGTCTGCTAACAGCAAAGTGAAGGGGCTGTTTGTTTGTTTCCACAGGGAAAGGAGAGCGTATATGGCTCTGTGTAGCAAATGCAGCCAACGAAAAGACGACAGTTCAGAGTTCCCTTAACAATAATCCTTGTCCCCAGGTTCTAAAAGCCCAAAGGGAGGGACTATTTGTTTATGTCTTTTCAGGTGAACTTGAACGTAAATAATGCTCTCTTCAGCAGGTGACAAAGGGATGGAAAGAAGACCCAGAGCCACCATTCCTGTTGCATGCTATCAGAAACATCCAGAAGACCTTACAACTTATTGCAGACCGTATCAGGTTATCAGAAAGCCATTGCTGATCCATGAGAATAGCAACTGTTGCCTTTCTAAGATTGATAACAATTTCTACCACTGCTACTGTCACTCTAGGACTCTATCAAAACTGAACATATGCGAACTCTCATCTATTCTAGGCTACTTAAACAAGGTAGATGATGGATTGGAAGTGAAAACAGCTGAGCTACAACAGACTGTTTGCAAATTATGGACTTGCAGCAGCAACTGATGCTGAAGTGTGATAGAAATTCTGTGTAACCCCTTATCCGTATAATGAAGCCTTACATAATCGGTCCTGAATTAGAAACCATTTGCAGGGATTTAAGGGAAATATCTCATGAGATAACAAGCAGCTAAACAAGGAGAGTTTCTTTGTTAAAAAAATTTTAGGAGATTTTCAATGGATTAAGGATGGGCTAAAAAAAGCATCCCCTATCAGTGACAGGATTAGATAATTGGCAGATGGTTCAGAAGGCTTGGATCCACTGCCTGGGTTGAAAAATCTATCCTATACCCTAGCCCCAGGATTACGGAACTTTAATGTTTATTGTCACCATTTTGGTCTTTGTAATTGCTTGTTGTTCTCTGCTGAAAGCTTTGGGGTACAGACAAAAAGCCATGTTTCTTAGGTAGCCCTTTCAAATTTAATCCATAGTACAAAGGGGCAATTGTGGTAAAATGAGGGACTGGGTGAGAATGCAATGCAACTAAATCCTATATGTTCATATTTAAGGGTCTAGAAAGCCGACTCCGGTGGGGAAAGACCCTCACTGGTTATGAGAGAAATAAACCTTAATACATTCTCATGACTGAACACAGTCCCTCTAAAAACCTCCCATAAAGGAACAATAAAGGAGCTCCCATATGAGATGAATCAATCTTGCTCTTGGCTATTCTGATCACACTCGAAGGCTCTGGATAAAGTGGGAGAAAAGTGTGGATAAAACTTCAAAATTACCCAGACCAGGTTTACTGATATGACAGACAGCTGGAACCCATAAACAGTGACCTTCAGGTCACCCTTGAGGTCTGAAATCAAAGGGAGCCCCCTGCCTCCATTGCCAAACAAAGAACCGGTCCATATGGGGAATTATAACATTAGTGAGGTACACAACTAGGAAAACTCAACCACCTGGGATCAGGGGAGCCCCACGTGCCAGACTAACCGGTCAGAAGGGTCAGGAGAGGCGGAGGTGATGAGACGAGTGGTGCTGCACTGAGAGCACTGCAGTGACTGAGAGGAAGCAAACTGAGCATGAACTGCTGACCATCCAACTGATGCTGGGCTTTGTAGATCTACCACACGCACAGCACAAGTGGAACAGAGTAGACGAAGCACCATTATGTGCTACAGCATTCACGGATGTTTGCATGTTATGGTGAGTGAAATACACCAGTCACAAAAGGACATATATACAATTTCACTCACACTCAACAGACAATTTTTCTCCCCAGGCAATTTTATAAACTAAACTTTATTCAGGATTGTGAGAAATGGGTGGAAAGGGAAAACAGGAATGTTTTTTAGAGGAAAGTGGAGTTCCCTGAGATTTTACAAATGGACATTAGCTAATTTATAAACAGTAGTGATGGTAGCATAGCATGATAAGCATAATTATTGTGAGTGAATTGTACGTGTAAAAAGTGCAACTGGTGTAGAATGCCTGGTGGGGTATGATCAAGGGCAATGTAGCCGAGAGGAATTCAGAGTCAAATGAAGGTCAAACATGATGTGGGACAGGAAGAAAGTAAAAGGAAAGCACCAGGAGGCAGAAAACATTTATATTGGTATAAATATAAACATTTATATATGTAAATGTTAATCTATAATAATAGGGATATAGGTCTATGTACATATATTTAAATATATGTTAAGTATCAAGGTAGCAGATGGACACTGGGTGCCTACTCAAGTTCTCCCTCAACACAAGAACACTGTGTTCTAATAACCTGGCATTCTGTGATGCTCACCTTCCAGACACAATTGCTGAAGACAAAATGGGTGAATAAGCAAATGTGGCGAAAGGTGATGGTGGGTGGGGGAGGGAGGGGAAAAAATGAGGAGCTGATACCAAGGGCTCAAGTAGAAACAAAATGTTTTGAGAATGATGACAGCAACAAATGTAAAGATGTGCTTGACACAATGGATGTATGTATGGATTGTGATAAGTGTTGTATGAGCCCCCAATAAAATGGTGCCCAACTATTAAAAGATAAGGCATCTGGGGTCTTAAAGGCTTAAAGTTAAAACAAGTAGTCATCTAGTAGGGAAGCAACAAAGCCCACATGGAAGAAGCACAGCAGCCTGTGTGATCAAGACTGGATCAGGTATCAGACATCAGAAGACCAGAATCTCATTACTTTCAATATAATCATTATCTTTACAATCTCACTGTTCAGCCAACCAGCAGGTTAGGGAATGTTTCACTTAGGGCTTGGGGGATGGGGTAGGCCCTCTAGTTCTGATTGTTCTTTCTTCTGGGATGTGCAGTGTTCCTTCTTGCATCAGGTATTGTCAACTGAGTCATGGCCTTTAGATGGGGTTCATCTGAACTTTTAAGGAGAAAAAGGCAATGTTTGTTTCTTCATGAGGATTCCTAGCAGAATGGCCTGGGCTGATAATCCTTATGACCTGGGTTGATTGACATCTTCTGGAAAATTCAGCATTAGTGGAATTTTTATCTGGTGAGGGAAGCCCCACCCTGTAACTGATAAATGCCAAATTATATCAGTATGTGAATAGCAGGGGTCTGTTTTCTCACTCCTCCCTTTCCTCCAGCAATGCTGTATAACTTTATTGTAAAAGTCCTTCAGATCTTTCATTAAATTTATTCCTAGCTATTTTACTATATTCTAAATAGATGCTATTGCAAATGGAATAATTTCCATGGCTTCATTTTCTTATTTTCCATGGTTGATGGCTTCAATATTGAACTAGTAGGGCTCCTGTGGCACCTAGTCGATGGCCAATAAACACCTGCTGCATTACTATAAAGGAAGAGCACATCCTCACCCAAGGAGAGCAGATCCCTGTACACCTCCAGCATGACTTCAATGTAGAGGTTCTTCTGCTCAGAGCTCAGTCTCTTCCATTCGGCCTCCGTGAAGACCACGGTGACGTCTTTGACTGTAACTGGTTCCTGGAAAAAGCAATAAATCAGTGCTCAGCAAACCACCAAAATTTCGCCCTTCAGGGGTGTTTAGTGAGTGGCAATAAAAAGTCCGGATCAGAAAAAGCTCATCTGTCTCTTTCAGAGAGCGCTTCTCCCTATCAAGTTCTCCTGGGCATGACTCTATCCTCGATTTTGGTAAAATGTGTAGGCCAGTCGAATGATGCAGAAATAATAACCTTATGATATCATTAGAGAAATAAGGTGTTAAAACCAATTATTAAGTATTAAGCAATATTTAACAAAGTCATTTTGAATTATCCATTTAAGGCCAGTTATGTGAAGTTCATTAAATCGTTTAAATTGTTGAATATAAAAATGATTGTAAGTGCAGAGGTAGGTGGGGTTAAGGTAGACATTAAGACAGCGTAAGGCAGAAGGAAACTCCAAGTAGAGAGGAAAGCAACAGTGAATACATAGGGTGGTCAAGACTGAGCGTGTCAAGTAGGAATACCTGAATGCAGTGAATAAAATCACCATCTGTTTGTTACTTGGATGTTAAATCCCTCGTGGCATAACACGACCCAATGTTAATTGCATTTCTTCATGAGGTTCTCAAAGCTCATGTATTGTACAATGTTTAGTAATAAAATGATAATAATATTCCAAAAGAAAAAAAATTGAAATAACTTAATGCTTCAAAACAGAATCTTTGAAGAGGGTAAATAGGTCAAATTTGTGAGGACTTTTTATATGAACACAGAGCATATTATGCAGAGTGAAATCCGTTAATCCCTAAAGTGTGTCATCTACTATAACAAGGCAGCAAAAGCTTTACACACAAACATTCTTGGAGCATTACGTGAAGAGAAAGGGATGGTAAATCACTAGTTAAAGGGGAGGCAGATATTATATTTAGTGAAACAGAAGACAATATACACTAAGAGGGTGATCAGCATAAAATAATCAAAGCAAAGGAAGATACGAAGAGGACCACAAAAACTACTGTCAATAAAGGTAAATAAATAGTATTATATATCCAATCCTGCAATGACAATACTAACAAACATCACGTATACTTGTAGGTAATCATCATCTACGCAAATGATAGACAGTAAAGCTAAACAAAGGTGGGATGAAGAATAAGATACTGCTGCATATGTATTTATATGTACTATACAAGCAGCAGCTTTAGAGGTAATGAAATACTTTAAGGAAATGGATCATCAGACCTGGAGATTTTAAACCAGGTGTCCTCAAATTACGGCCCGGGGACCATAGGTGGCCTGCCGAGGACATTTATCCGGCCCCATTTGTTTTTTTACTTCAAAATAAGATATGTGCAGTGTGCATAGGAATTTGTTCAGTTTTTTTTAAAACTATAGTCCAGTCGTCCAACAGGTATGAGGGACAGTGAACTGTCCCCGTCAAAGTACACCAGCCTAAACTGGTATAACACAACCCACATAGACAATATTCTACAACTGACTTTCTGGTGAGAAGTGATGGGTACATCAAAGCTTGTGAGGGGCCATTTATGGTAAAAGGATTGCTTTCTTCCTCTCTCAAGTATACAAGAATGAAGAAAACCAAAGATAGTAGAACAAAATTAGTCCAAAGGATTACTTCAGCACACAAACCAGAGTCCCTAAAGCCATGAAATGGGAGGGCTAGATGGTGCCTGACAACATGGCTGACTGCTGAGAAAGGGGTCACTAGTCAGCCCTGCATGGAGCCAAAGGGTGGAACAAAACAAACTAAGTCCAAAAACAAACAAAAAAGACCAGATTTACTGGCCAGTAGGATGTTGAGATTATGAACCCCTTTGGCAATCTTCAGGGTTAGAATGAAACTTACCACCCTGGCTTCACTTTTAGTCACATGGGAGAAAAACACAGCATCAGGGAAATATGCACTGTTTATTAGAACAATCAGTGATAGGATAGCAAAAGGAAGCATTGACAGAAGTTCAGAAGGAGGAAAGGTAGAAACATAAGATGTAAACTTTTTTTTACAAAAACAAATGGGAGGACTGCCGTTACATTGTGGGTATTTCACTCAGGGTCAGAAATCAACACATGCATGAATTGTTATGTGGAACACGAACACACTCTGGAAACGTTCACCCATATCACAATGACTTCGAAAAAGGAAGAAGTGGAAGTTCTGTGGAGGTAGGGAACACTGAAATATAAAAAGGGATATTTTAAATTCAAAATGACTAGATTTAACAAAAGGTCACATTCCTATAAGCAAGACTGGTTATTTTCAGTGATATTACAAGTGACTTGTTATTATAAGTGATAGCTGAAGCAATTTTTATGTTGATCTTCATTTTATATGTTTAACAAGTTTAATAATTAAAGAGCAAAAACATGCCCAGGAGCTACAAGATGGCAGCATGAAATAATACCTGCATGAGCTCCTATTGAACTCTAATAGGGCATCTTACTAGAGTTTCTTGTATACTTAATGTTAACTTTGGTGATATTTTATAAAAATAAAATGCCAATTTGAAGGGGGAAAAAAAGAACAGGTGACACTGGACCTGACATCAAGGCATAAAATGACCAAAATGACCTCTGATCTTTCGATGTCAGAAAATGCACGTGTAATCTTTGGAAAATGAGCTAGTAAAGTAAGGTAACTGGGTAATACTACTCTTACCATTGTTGTAAACAGCCTCTTCTCTTCTTGGGGCCAGTAAGTATCCAGAGTAGATAAAACTAAGACAAGAAAGAGAAGGTGTGAGTAGTCAGACCTCCCACCATGCTCCTAGGGTAGCTCTTCTGAGCCAGGATGGGAGGCAGTGGCCACCTTACTCAGCTAGGGCCAGGAGAGCATCTCACCAGAACCTGGGCTCTTGGTCCTCCTCTTCATGGCTCCGGACTCTCCACAGCTCTCACTTTTTGCCTTCTGGGGTTGAGTCCATTTCGTCACAGTCTCCATAGCTTCTCTGCTCTTTGAGGAAACAATCTTCTCCCAGTCCTGCTCTGCTAGGGTAGAAGGGCCAGGAAACACAACGGTCCCAGACTCGAGAGTCTAGTGTCTGCTTTGAACGTAGGTTACAGGCCAGTCAGAAGTCATTTCACCTTAAGATGGAGTTCTGTTGTTTGGGCTGTTCTTCACCCCTCAGTCTGAAAGCCTCTCTGGTTTCTGCACATCCAGATCCTGTGGGGTGGAGAAGCAATTTGACAAACTGGACCCTTTGTGTGCTCTAAGCCCAGGCCTCCCCAGCAAGGATCCTGGCCTCTCACACCCTCCTCATTCTACAATGATGCATTCCCAGTCTACGCACCTTCTCTAAACTGTCCACCTTTATTCACTCAGGGTCTGTGATAGCTAAAGGAGAGCAGAGTCCACCTGTGCCATAGTTCTCAGGGCTGACCCATCCTGAAAAAGAATGCCAGGCCTATCTTCCAAGGGGTCTCTGAGTGGGTTCAAAAGGTCATCTTTCAGCTGAAAGTCATGAACTTAACCATGCGTGCTACCCAGGGATGCTTTCTTGCTGCTCGGTACCCTTTGAAGTCTAGCTAGGTGGCACTGCGGGTTAGACACTGGACTGTTGAGCACAAAACTGGTGTTTCCAACCAACACCCCCTCCAGAAGCAGACTCTGAAGGGTATGGGGAGGGGGGAGATAAACAAACAAACAAACAAACCTTTCTGCTATTCAGGTACTACTATATTCTGACATTTATCAATTCTAGGGCAGGACCTCCTTCACCAGATCAAAATTCAACTAATGCTGAATTATCCTGGAGATGTCAATGAACTCTGGTCTTAGGAATTACCAGCCCAGGGCATTCTGCTAGCACTCATCATGTAGATACAAACTGCAGGCATTTCATCAAAAATTAAATACAAATGGCTGAGACACATGAAAGAAAATCTTCACTAGCACTAGGCCATCAGGGAGACACATATTAAAACCACAGTGAGATACCACTTTACACCCACAACGCCAGCCCAAATAAAAACACTGCAAATAAAAGCTGACAGGGGAAGAGAAATGAGGGAAAGGGCCACTGAAATGGCCACCCACCCAATCATAAACTGTAGATCTGTCAGAGCAGAGCACAAACTGTCCCGCTGTTCCCTAGAGACCATGGCAATATCAATCTCACCTCCAGTAAATCACCTTCCCATCTCTTCCACAAACCAAGCACAGCTGGTACCGACCTCCCCATTCAACTCCCACCACCTAGAATAGCTCCAAAGTAAAAAAACTCACTCTCATCAAGGTAACCAGGACTCATAGTGATCTTACCGGGCAGAGTAGAACCGCCCCTGTAAGTTTCCGCGGCTGAAAGCAGAAAGCCTCATCCTTCTTCCGCGAGGCAGCTGGTGGTTCAGGACCGCTGGCCGTGCAGTTAAATATAAAAGCCCAATGCTTCATGGGCCAGCCCAACAAGGCGGCAGCCTCTACCCAAAGCAAAGACAGCTGACAAACATGGCAAGTCCGAGATTCCTGCCCTGGCCAGGAAATGCAGAAGCGCTCCTCCCCAAAACCATACAAACAAAACCGAAACCACCCACCCGAGTCATACTGGCCAACCTGTGCTACCACCAACTCAGAATCTTACTGTATTTGCTCCTGGCTGAACTCACACCCACAGCTCCGATAAACACCAGGTTCTCTGAAGTCCGGGATCGTTTGCCCCAGATTAATCCAATTCAAACTTCCCAGCCGCTCTCTAGCTTCAACCCGAATATGGGAGGTCCATCCAGTGCAAAGAAACGTAAGAATTCACAGCTACCAATCCATCCTGTCAGTCACGCCCCCGTTTCCAAAAATTTTCATTCTCTAACCTCACAGAGGACATCTTCAACCCCGAAGCCACCAGGCCCACCCCTGGCCAACCAGTCCCACCGCGCGAAAAAGCTGGATTCAACCTCCTAGGCGGAACCCTCCTTACCGGCCGGTGAATCTGGTTGGCGCATCCAGTCAGCGACCGCGGAACCACCCCGAACTGGTTCCCAGAATGCTCCAGGCCGGCGGCTCTCACGGGCTACATCAAGGGCTCCTTCCGAGGCGGGGTTAAGATAGCCCGACAGCAGCCACTGTGGCCAGAATCTCTCCAGCCTCACTTCTTGAAACACCTGTTCATGGCTCTAGTAGGAGAACTCCAGAAAATCTCTATCCTGTGTGCCAAGCTCGAAAGCGAGAGCGCGAGGAGACTACACCGCAACTTCCGCTCAGGCGTTCCTCGCCCCGCGCACGCGCTGTGACGTAAACGGCGCTCCCGAGTGACGTGAAGGCGCGCTTGCGCACCGGCGGGAAAACCGACGTCTGCGCACTCTATAGCATTCTCCAGAGTTTCGTCAACAACTGTCCTCTTTAAATGCAGTCAGGATGAGACTAATAGACTAATAGGCTCATGGCTGAGGAGACCCTCTGTGCTGTCACCAGTAGGGTGACCTCCATCAAGGATACACCCAGGCAAGTCCTTAAGAGAGACTGCCCTTCCCTGGTCTGGGCAGAGACAGGTGGAGGCAACCCACTATCCAAAGCACTCTGCCTGCCATGATTATCTACATTCTTGGTTAATGATCAGAAAGGCAATTGTGGGAAACAAGATTTCTCCCAAGTTGTCGCCCCCAAATATGTGCCAAACTTAGCTGCTTGCAAATGACTATCATCAGAAGTAGATCAGGGGTCATTCTCCCTAAGAGCTATCAGCCATCTAGACCAAGCAGTCACCACTGTTTATCCCACAACAAGTAGGGCCCACTCCCTTCTGATAAGGATAGTAGTTGACTGTTAACTTGTAGGAGACCCCAGAGAGGTCAAGCCCACCAAGGGTGACCAAGGTTAGGCCGCCATCATGAATCCAGGGTCTGTCCTTCTTGTCACATGTATACCTCTAGTTCCTCCCCTCCCTATCTTATGTACAGCCCTAGCTCATCCCCTTCCTGTTACGCCTATGCCCATTTTACATCCCCTTCCTATAATGTGTAGGCCTATGGTACTGCCCCTTCCTGTGACGTGTGGTTACCTGCAATCACGCCGCCGCCCC